ATTTTTCTTCTGCATTTGGATACAAAGGACGTTGCTGGCGAGAGAGACCTTCGTGCCTGGGGGACACCTTGCAGAGGGAATGGCCACCACTTGGCTTCCCTCCTCGGGAGAGAATTTCTCTTAGGACCTATCCCAGGTCTGCTGGTGGTTTTAATTAGTGAGAAAGCATAACAGACTGGAGAGAGAGAGAGAGACAGAGGGAGAGACAGTGAGAGAGAGACAGAGACAGAGAGAGACAAAGACAGAGAGACAGAGAGACAGAGAAAGACAGACAGACACAGAGACATAGAGACAGAGACAGAGACAGAGAGATACAGAGGCAGAGACAGAGAGAGAGAGAGACAGAGAGGGGGAGAGAACCTACAACCGTTGCTGGGACTTGCTCATCTTAGCAGCCGGAGTCTGATCTGAACAGGGAGGCAATGCGATCCACGTGGCAGGAAGACTTTTCTGTGAAACCAGGGGCGCTTTTCATACTCTTGTTTCTTCATGACCTCACATGTAGTAGAGGGTATACAAGGTAAGAAATGGGTTCCTTCTTACAATATCTTTTGTATTTAATTTGTTTATTCTCAGCACATTCCTTTTGAGATTGCTTTAATTACATCTCTCCTTTTTTTCCTCAATTTTTCTGTTGAAACCAGAAACATTTTTATATAAAATTTAAGATTTCCTTAAATTCATTTTTTTAGGTGATAGGCCCTACCAGGGGTTACTTTGATGATTCTTCTGCCTTCTAAAATGAATCAGCCCATATTTCTGTTAACTTTTAATTTTTTAAAGAAAGTACGTATCATAGATACTGGGCCAAACTGACTCTGATGTCCTTGCATAGACCCAGTCTGTCTTCAAAACATGTCACAATTAGTGAAACCGTAGCAACAACAATAAAGATGATTTTTATTTATTATAATTTATAAGACATTTCCATAGGATATGAATCTTTGTTTTGTTTTTGTTTTTTTTTTTTTTTTGATTGCTAAATTTTTATTTATTTATTTTTTGGAGAATTTTGGTGTCTTACTCTCGAATTTTGGGAGTTCTTTTTATTTTTATTTATTTATTTCTTATTTTTTATAAATTTATTTTTTATTGGTGTTCAATTTGCCAACATATAGAATAACACCCAGTGCTCATCCCATCAAGTGTCCCCCTCAGTGTCCGTCACCCAGGGATGTGAATTTTTGCATTGTTTGCCAATTTTCTTTTATAGTTTATGATTATTGAATAGTAAACCACTCTGCTGCTCAATCTCATGACTCTAAAGGAACTTTTTTCTTCTGTTTTTGTCTGAATTTCTCCATACCCAAACTAAAATAAAAATTACTTCCTTTCTGTATCACCATGTTTTAAAGACACTTTATTACTGTAATAGTAGATGCCTAAATACATACAACACAAGCTTTTTAAATACATATTTCTTCTTTTTTCCATTCATTGCTATCTTTAAATTGTCCTGTGTGCCTTCTATCCTCCGTATGCACAGATCTTTGTATTCTTTATCGGATTTGTCGGTTTCTGAAAGGACAGAAAAATCTCTACCCAAGATGTTGGAATTCCTCATCTGCTTTCAACCTGCAAATTCTAAAGGGAGTGAGAGAGGGAAAGAAGGAAAGGAAAAAGAAAGAGAAAAAATAAAAGTTTGAGGAAAACATGTTTAGAAAATATATAAAAGAGGGGGTGTCTGGGTGTCTCAGTTGGTTAGTGGCTGCTTTTGACTCAGGTCATGATCTCAGGGTCCAGGGCTCCCTGCTCAGTGGGGAGCCTGCTTCTTCCTCTCTCTCCTCTGCCCACATCCCCCCAAATCTCATGCTTTCACTCTCCCAAATAAATAAATAAAATCTTAAAAAAAAGAAAATATACACAATCACTTCTGCATTTTATAGATGAATAGTGCCACTAAGAGTGTATGTCACTTTAGGGACAAAAATAATGGAATAAATAAGAATATGTGGTTAACATATATAAAGGATCATGCCTTTGTCAGAATTTGAATTTCTTCTCTTAATATAAGCAAGATGGATATAATGTTTGTATGTTACTTTTCTATCATAGAAGGGAAAATAAATGATTATTTAAAAAATTAAGTGAGGCCATCAATTTAGTGGATTTTTCACTCCAAATGAAATTTTAGGTGGATTATAATGTCTGTGAGAAATACCTTCCACTAGAGGAGGCAACTTTCAATGGCAGTAACTGATAGTAAGTAAGAAGGGGAAAACAAACAACAAACTCTTGTTTCTGGACACTCAGTCCCCTAGAATCTCCAATTCTCCAAAGCACACTTAGAGGGCAAATCTGCATTATTTTCAAAAGAAGTGTATCTCAACCTGAAATCTGGCATTGTGATGCCCCCAGCTATGGTTTTTTTTTTTAAATTCCCCTGGCTATTCGGGGTCTTTTCTGATTCCACACAAACCTTAAAATAATTTGTTCTAACTCTCTGAAGAAAGCCCATGGTATTATGATGGGGATTGCATTAAACATGTAAACTGCCCTGGGTAACGTTGACAATTTCACAATATTAATTCTGCCAATCCATGAGCTTGGAATATTTTTCCATCTCTTTGTGTCTTCCTCAATTTCTTTCAGAAGTTTCTGTAGTTTTTAGGGTATAGATCCTTTACCTCTTTGGTTAGGTTTATTCCTAGGTATCTGATGCTTTGGGTGCAATTGTAAATGGGATTGACCCCTTAATTTCTCTTTCTTCAGTCTCATTGTTAGTGTATAGAAATGCCACTGACTTCTGGGCATTGATTCTGTATCCTGCCATGCTGCCAAATTGCTGTATGAGTTCTAGCAATCTTGGAGTGGAGGCTTTTGGGTTTTCTATGTAGAGGATCATGTCATCGGTGAAGAGGGAGAGTTTGACTTCTTCTTTGCCAATTTGAATGCCTTTAATGTCTTTTTGTTGTCTGATTGCTGAGGCTAGGACTTCCAGTACTATGTTGAATAGCAGTGGTGAGAGTGGACATCCCTGTCTTGTTCCTGATCTTAGGGGAAAGGCTCCCAGTGCTTCCCCATTGAGAATGATATTTGCTGTGGGCTTTTCGTAGATGGCTTTTAAGATGTCGAGGAAAGTTCCCTCTATCCCTACACTCTGAAGAGTTTTGATCAGGAATGGAGGCTGTATTTTGTCAAAACAATGCCAGATTTCAGGTTGTACTACAAAGCTGTGGTCATCAAGACAGTGTGGTCCTGGCACAAAAACAGACACATAGATCAATGGAACAGAATAGAGAATCCAGAAGTGGACCCTCAAGTTTATGGTCAACTAATATTTGATAAAGGAGGAAAGACTATCCACTGGATAAAAGACAGTCTCTTCAATAAATGGTGCTGGGCAAATTGGGCATCCACATGCAGAAGAATGAAACTAGACCACTCTCTTGCACCAGACACAAAGATAAATTCAAAATGGATGAAAGATCTAAATGTGAGACAAGATTCCATCAAAATCCTAGAGGAGAACACAGGCAACACCCTTTTTGAACTCGGCCACAGTAACTTCTTGCAAGATACATCCACGAAGGCAAAAGAAACAAAAGCAAAAATGAACTATTGTGACTTCATCAAGATAAGAAGCTTTTGCACAGCAAAGGAAACAGTCAACAAAACTCAAAGACAACCTACAGAATGGGAGAAGATTTTGCAAATGACCTATCAGATAAAGGGCTAGTTTCCAAGATCTATAAAGGACTTATTAAACTCAACACCAAAGAAACAGACAATCCAATCATGAAATGGGCAAAAGACATGAAGAGAAATCTCACAGAGGAAGACATAGACATGGCCAACATGCACATGAGAAAACGCTCTGCATCACTTGCCATCAGGGAAATACAAATCAAAACCACAATGAGATCCCACCTCACACCAGTGAGAATGGGGAAAATTAACAAGGCAGGAAACCACAAATGTTGGAGAGGATGTGGTGAAAGGGGAACCTTCCTGCACTGTTGGTGGGAATGTGAGCTGGTGCAGCCGCTCTGGAAAACTGTGTGGAGGTTCCTCAAAGAGTTAAAAATAGACCTGCCCTACGACCCAGCAATTGCACTGCTGGGGGTTTACCCCAAAGATACAGATGCAGTGAAATGGCAGGACACCTGCACCCCTGCCAGGTGTTTATAGCAGCAATGTCCACAATAGCCCAACTGTGGAAGGAGCCTCGGTGTCCATTGAAAGATGATGGATAAAGAAGCTGTGGTCTATGTATACAATGGAATATTCCTCAGCCATTAGAAATGACAAATACCCACCATTTGCTTCAACGTGGGTGGACCTGGAGGGTATGATGCTGAGTGAAGTAAGTCAATCGGAGAAGGACAAACATTATATGTTCTCATTCATTTGGGGAATATAAATAATAGTGAAAGGGAATAGAAGGGAAGGGAGAAGAAATGGGTAGGAAATATCAGAAAAAGAGACAGAACATAAAGACTCCTAACTCTGGGAAATGAACTAGGGGTGGTGGAGGGGGAGGAGGGTGGGGGGTGGGGGTGAATGGGTGTTGGGCACTGAGGGGGACACTTGACAGGATGAGCACTGGGTGTTATTCTGTATGTTGGCAAATTGAACACCAATACAAAATAAATTATTAAAAAAAGAAGTGTATCTCAAAAGGGTGACCAATCAGATTAAATTCTTTACCAAGAAGACTTTTTTTAATAAATTTATTTTTTATTGGTGTTCAATTTGGCAACATATAGAATAACACCCAGTGCTCATCCCGTCAAATGCCCCCCTCAGTGCCCGTCACGCAGTCCCCCTCACCCCCCGCCCACCTCCCCTTCCACCACCCCTAGTTCATTTAGAAAGACTTTTTAAAAAACACCAGTCTGTTTTTAAAAAACAGATATCGCTTTTTGTCATTTATTGGGGACAACATGATGAAATTTTTCCACGCTGGTTTTAGTTATTTTTTTTTTACTCAAACAAGTATTCTGATCACTCGTTTCTTTCATGTTTACCACCTCTCCAGTTCCCCCTGCATCTCAGCCATGAAGAGCGAGCTGAGCAGGAATTCCTCAGGAGTGACCGAGTTCATTCTGCTGGGCTTCAGAACAGCTCCAGACATACAGATCCTCTTATTCCTATTCTTCTTGCTGGTCTACGTGGTCACTGTGGTGGGAAATGTCAGCATGATAATTGTCATCAGGATGGACTCGAGGCTTCACACGCCCATGTATTTCTTCCTTAGACACTTGTCCTCTGTAGATCTCTGCTACTCCACAGTCATTGCTCCCAAAACTTTAGCCAACTTCCTGTCTCATGAAAAGAAGATTTCCTACAATGGCTGTGCAGCCCAGTTTTTCTTCTTCGCTCTGTTTGTCACAACTGAAAGCATTCTTTTGGCTGTCATGGCCTTCGATCGATTCTCGGCCATTTGCTCCCCTCTCCTTTACCCTGTGCACATGTCCCAGAAAGTGTGCGCTCAGCTGGTGACTGGCTCCTACATCTGTGGAGGCCTCAACTCCATGGTCCACACAGGATTCACCTTCAGCTTGCGTTTCTGTGGAGAAAACCGCCTGGACCACTTCTTCTGTGACGTCCCAGCCCTGATCAAGATCTCATGTGTAGACACGTCTGTGAATGAGATGGTGCTGCTCATCCTCTCCGCCCTCATCATTGTCACCACCACGACTGTCATCCTGGTTTCCTATGCTTACATACTCTCCACTGTCCTGAAGATCCCCTCCACCCACGGCAGGGGTAAGACCTTCTCCACCTGTGGCTCCCACATGGCCACGGTGACTTTGTTCTATGGGACCGTGTTCTTCATGTACGCCCAGCCCGGGGCCATCTCCTCCCCAGGGCAAAACAAGGTCGTGGCTGTACTCTACACACTCATCATCCCAATGCTAAACCCTCTGATATACAGTCTGAGAAACAGAGACGTGAAAGATGCTGTGAGAAGAGTGCTGCACAGGAAGTGATCCCTTCCTGCCCTGGGTCAGACCGTGATGCAGTGGCACAGTCGCTTCCCAAGCGTCCCAGTTATCCTTGTACTTGGAGAATTAGTTTATCAAGTATATTTTGATATATGGCAACAGATGTTTTTCTAAGTGTTACAAAATGGTGTTTCTGTGCTTAGAATATATAAAAGCATTATCTGTTTTCAATTTCTGATGTGATAATATCTTCATTTCAATCTTTAAGAAGTAAATAGTAAAAGAAAAAGTAAACATTAAGAGTTGCTATTTAACATTATTATTTAATAATAATAATTTCTGTTGGCTTATGAAGTTTAGTATTGAGCTCATATAGTCCATTTGAGGCAATCTAGATCATAATTCAAGGTATTTTTGTTCCACGGATTTGCTTGGTGATTTTATGCTGTTATCACACGCTTGTTGCCCAATAAGCTTTAATGCCCTGTAGGGTGACATAGTTTTAAAAAATGTCTCAGCTAGTAATACTTTACATCAGTGAATTTCAGAAACATTTTGCATTTGAAAAATATTTCCTATTTTAGCAGGATTGCATTTAGTAAATAATTGATCTATTTACGATATTCATTTGTAAGAGCAAGTTTATTATTATTGCTGATGATATCAGACAGCACAGGCTATGTCCATGTCCTGTGACTGAACACAGGTGTTTGAAGGCCTCGGGTGGTTTAAAGACTGAATGGAAGCCATCAATTTATCGCCTTCACTCCACAGATGTAAGATCACATAAAATACTATGACTCAAGCTTTTAGCACAAGAAAGTATAAATTAGTGGTATTGTGTAGTAGTATTTTTATTACCATCATCATTATCATCCTTTTTATATGTTTTAGCAGTGTAATGGAATTTATATATTTGAGATCCACACATTTTTTAGTAAACATATTTTATGTATTAGTTGCTGTTGTGACAAAAGTCTTTATTAGCTTGTATTTTCTAACAGATAATTCTAGGACTTGGAGAACTTTTAAAATTACTATGTTTTTATTTTATATGAGTTCAAATTACTAAAATTTTTCTCAGTGCTTAGAGTTTTTCCAATTAAATATTAGATTTAAAGTCTTACTTAGCAGTCAATTTTTGAAGACTTTTAATTAGTACTTTTTTAAAGAGTTGGTATTAAGTAAAAATACTAATTATGTCAGTTGCTGTATAAAATATACATATGTTTTCTTACTCCTCACATCAGATTTATGGTGAAGGTGACATTATATGTATCAACTGTATAATCTGTAGCAATTATTCTCCAAGAATAGGAATTGTATCTCAGAAGAATTAAGTACTGTGCTCAAGTTCACATTGTCAGTAGTTAGCAATCAAGGCCAGGCTGAAACAGAACTTTTTTTTTTTTTTTTTTGAAACAGAACTTTCTGATTCTGAAGCCCTTAGAGGTAAAACTTATGTGACATTGGTTCAGTGAAAGTTCTATCCTACATGTTTTTTTAATATCATAAAGGTATTTGTTAACTCAAATGTATTAATAATGATGTTCAGCTCTCTCTATTTTCATTGATTTTTGTTTATATATTACAAACTGAATGTATTTAAGTATCATTTGTGATTTTGGTCATTTTCTCCATTACAATAATTTTTGCTTGTGTTATATAATACATGACAATTAATTACATATTGCATTAATATAGATTCATTTCTTGTTATATATACAAGTGCTTTATGCAGAATTTTACCTTATTTAATATCAAGATCACATTTGACTTTTTTAAAAAATTTTATCTAGTGTATCTTGCTTAACTTTGATTTTTCTCTTTTTTATATGGCATTTTATATAAATTTGACATTTTATAAGTCAAGTTTCTCCTACCCCAATAGAAATGCAATTTTCTTAAGTTGTGGGTAGTATATCTCATTTACATTCATTATTATAATCTATTATTTTTCTTCCTTTTTTTCTTTGTAATATTTTCTTGTTTTATGTATATTTCTTTCTTATGTCTTTTTGAGAAAATAATATTTCAGCTATTTTTGTCTTTAAGCCTATATCACATCACTTTTGTCTATGATTAGCAAATAAGTGTCACATTTTTATCTTTCAACTCTTAAGATACAACTAATTATTATAACTCATCTTTTGTGAATAGTAGGTTTACAGGCTTGTGAAATTATAATTGCCCTGTAGTTGTTCTTATATTAGAAATGAATGATCTGAAATACAATGCTTTTCCAGAAAACATTATTTTATCATTTAACGTATAATAAATTTGAGATCACTGTAATTTTACAGATATTTAAAATTCTGTGTCCTATATACTCATATGTGGAAAATAGTTTATTATTTTAATTCTTAAAACTCAACTCACATTTATGAGAATCATATATTCCTCTGTGCTTTCTAATCTTTTCTATTGCCCTTTAAAATGTATCAATTTTATTTTTGTTTCTGGGAATAGCTAGTGAACGTCTCCATAGCAAAGACCATATTTTCTCCAGTGAGTCTTTCTAAGGCCTTCTTAGCGTCTCTTTGACTTATTAAATTTCCTTTCCTGTAAACACATTAAAATTACTAAGAAAAACAGTTCTAGAGGCTCTTGGGTTTCTCAGTCAGTTGAGTGTCTGACTCCTGGTTTCAGCTCAGGTCATGGTCTCCTGGGTCATGGGCTCTGTGCTCAGTGGGGAGCCTGCTTGGGGATTTGCTCCCTCTGCCACAACCCCACTCACTCTTGCTCTCTCTCTGAAATAAATAAATCTTTAAAAGCAAAGAAAAGGAGTTTATAAAACATGAGCAAACGGATTGCAAAATAAAAAGAATGTTATGATCCAGGCAAAGATGTACAGAACTGCTCAGAGAGTTCTGGCTCCAGAAGCAAATCCTGGCTACAACCGCAGTTTGCTGCCATCTCGTGGGCGCTTCAGTTAAATCTAAAGAATCTGGGTCCTGTGATAGCATGAAACTTCTAGAACAATGGGTAATTGAGCAAAGTATTTTTCAGTTGCAGATTTACCCTCCTATCCAAAAGCAGAGCATTCTTATAAAACCTCTCCTAAGCTCAAATGGCATAAATCAAAGAAGCAATTAACTTTAATTGATGTGATATATATATAATTTTTTACCATTCTCAGACCCAAAAAATAACCTCTCAGATTTTTCTAATACCTTATGATACTTTATTTTGTGCATCTTGCTAACAGGTGCACAAAATAAACTCAGACGAAGCACAGATGCTCACAGACAAGTTAAAGTTATGGTGGCTTGATGCTGAGATGCTGAGTGTAGTTCCCCGGGAAGGAGCTTGGCTGTGCCTCTAGAATGGTTTGCTGCAAAACAAACACCGAATGCTATTTTCAGTTTTCACCTTTTTTTCATTAAAGGAAAATTCTTTTTGGATATATTTTGTTTAGTGTAGTGAAAACATTTGCTAATTCAGTTCCTTCATAAAAGCAAATTGGCTTAACAAAAACTTTCAGAAAGCACCAAATGTCTGTATTGATTGTTCTGAATAAGGGATGTTGGTTGTAAATAACTGGAAATGGGCAAGGTCACCCTATACCTTGGTCAGAGTAACTCCAGTTCTATCTGTTTTATTTTCCTAGCCAAAATAAATTTCTTTTCCCATCTGCTTAAAAAGCAGGAAAGCAGTTATTTTAGGGCAGGGTTTTTTGTTTGTTTGTTTGTTTGTTTGTTTTTAATGATCAGTTTACCTAAGGGTCTCCCTAGGTATGGTCAATTTTGCATATGCATTGCTTTTCATCAAACATTGAAAAGTCACTAATGGCAACTAAACCTAAATTTCCTACAGATAAAAATGATGAAGTGCCTGCACCAACTGTCTGATGTTCAGGGAAGAAAGTTAACATTTTCATTCCCCCCCCCCTTTTTTTTGAAGAATAGTTTCATTCTCTGAAGACCATATTCTGTTAGGAGTTGTTTCTCGTGGTTCTCAGCATTTTCTATTTCATCCACGAGAAAAAAACTTGACATATATATGACCAGTTAAATTGTGGCAACAGAACCAAGGTAATACAATGGGGAAAGGGCAGTCCTTTCAATAAATGGTGTTCGGGAAACTGGACTTCCACATGCAGAAGACTGAAATTGTGCCATTATTTTACACAATACAGAAAAACTAACTTGAACATAAGACCAGAAATTCTAAAGATCTGAGAAGAAAATACATGCAGTAAGTTCCTTCGCATTGATCTCAGTGTTGATTTTCTGGATTTGAAAGCAAAGATGTGAAAAGCAAAAATAAACAAGTGGAACTACAACAAACTAAAAAGCTTCTGCACAGCCAAAGAAGTCATTAACAAAATGAGAAGGCAGCTTACTGATTGGGACAAAATATTTGCAGATCATCTATAAGATGCTCATATCCAAAATATGTAAAAGAACATACAGTTCAATAGTAAAAGAATAATTCAATTTAAAAAAAAATAGGAAGAGGATCTGAATACATAATTTCCAAAGATGGAAATACAGATGACCTACAGGTGCATGAAAAGTTGCAAAATATTGCTAATCATCAGGGAGATGTAAATCAAAACCACAACGAGGGCACCTAGGTGGCTCAGTCGATTAAGCATCTGTCTTTGACTCAGGTTGTGATCCCGGGTCTTGAGATTGAGCCCTATGTCAGGCTCCCTGCTTGATGGAGAGTCTGCTTCTCCATCTCCCTCCACCTGCCACTCCCCTTGCTTGTGCTCTCTCTCTCTCTCTCTCTCTCTCTCTCTCCCTCTGTCAAATAAATAAATTAAATCTTAAAAAAAAAAGCCAACACAACAAGATACCACCTCATACCTGTTAGAATGTTAGAGTGTCTATTACCAAACAGACAATAAATAATGTGTTGGCAGGCATGTGGAGAAAGGGAACTCTTGAGCACTGATGGTGAGAATGTAAATTGGTGCAGCCACTATGGAAAACAGTATGGAGGTTCTTCAAAAAATCAAAAGTATATTTTTCATATGATCTAGTAATTCCACTTATGAATATTTATTTGAAGAATACAAAAACACTAACTTGAAAAAA